TCAGTTGTTAGCTGGAAACTCCTGGCTGGCTTTTTGGAGCCTTTTTGATAAAATTGTTGCTTTTATTTGGAAAGATCTGCGTCTTCAGACGGTTCAAATATAAAGAAGGAAGTTAGAAAACTCAACAGAAAAACTTCAAAGTGTGAGAGTAAGATCATTATTATAAGATAAAAGAAATGAGTGTATCAAGATGAAACTGTTGTAGAGGTTGGTGTTAAAAGAGAAGTTATTTCACATGATGACAGTGACGTAACACTAAAGGTCGACTTTTAACTAATATAGTTGAGCTTTTTTAACTTTTAAAACCACGATTTGAAGTCACCTTGATCATTTTCAATTAGACTTCAAATGCAAAGAGTTCATTTGGGTGAATAACAATAACAATCTTAATTGAATTTCAACAGGTTTCAAATTAATGCAGAATTTATGAGATTAAAACTTCTTCTTCTTTTTAGGCGATGAAACGATGTTGGAAACAGTTTGAAAGCAGACTTTAAGACAGCTGTTTTAAAAGGTTTTAAGTGTCAAGCAGTGAAAATGTTGCTAACTGAAACGTGGCCAGTGCATAAACCTTCAGGTTTAATTCTCTGAGTTTGTTTGTGGTTGATGATTGAAACTCTCCCCTGAAGGTTTCCTTTTCTCTGCAGCAGCCCTCAGTGGAAGAGCAGAGACTTTCTACAGAAATGGACAGAGTGTTGTTCTGCGGTGTACAACAGATGTACCACACACATGCAGAGATGTTGACTGGCTCTATAACAGAGATGGAAGTGTAACACTAACTAAGGTCAGAAAAGGGAATATTGAAGCAGAGTCAGGTCGAGCTGCCAGGCTGAGTGTGAACGCTGACTGCTCTCTGATCATCAACAACATCTCTGCTGAGGACTATGGACGCTACACCTGTCGAGTTAGGGACAGCATTCCCCATGACACAAATATCAATCTAAGTATTTTAACAAGTGAGTATTTTATGCTTTATAAACACTATCTTACTTAATTGACTTTAACTGAAATTGGGACATGTGAACAGCAGCATCTGTCATAACTCCTCACTTTGCTCCATAATCATTAAGAATAAAGATTCATTCAATTAAACTTGAAAGAAAGTTAAACTTAAAGATTATTATTTTTTTAATTCTCATAATTTCTTAACATAATGTATAATATTCCTCATTTCTAAGGCTGAAAAATCAGGATTAATCTCTTTCTGTCCTTAAGTTTCTCCATCTCCACCAGACGCTAATACAGGAAATGATGAAGTCACATTAGAGTGCTCTCTGGAGAGAGACAGAGATTTGGGTCAGTGTAAACCAAACAGCATCCGCTGGCTGGATGAGAGAAGAACTGAGCTGACAGGTAAAGGTGACGGATATGAGCTCAGAGGACAGGCGAACTGTGTTTCCTATCTGACTGTGAGCCTTCAGAGGGCAAACAGCAGAACGTTCACCTGCCAGTTTGTGGAGGAAAACAGAGTTCAGGTAGAAGCTCAATACTCACCTGTTCCAGCAGGTATGATGTCGATTAGATTTGCATGATTATCAAGCGTTTTATCCGAGAAACTCAAATTACTGTGATGTTTTTTTTAGTGACATTGTCGACCACTTCAGTTCCTACGACCGCACAACCCCCGAAGTTACAACCCCCCCGGGACACCTTCATTGGGATCGGAGCAGCCGTCGGGGTGGGGCTGGTTCTGCTCCTCATCACCATAGCCGTTCTCACCAAATTCAGGAGGAAAGGCGGAGCCACGGAGGAGCAAAAAGCCCCAGCAGGTGAGGAATTAGTGGCCTTCTCTGAGGACTTCACACACAATGCGTGGAAATTAGAATATATGCTCCATATGTTTGGGCTTGGTGTGGCTCTCAGTCATGATCTGATCCTTTTTAAAACAAAAAAATCTTTAAAAATGCCTTTAAAAATCAATGAAATGTAAAATCAATGAGAAACTAAACAGAAACTGACAGTCAGGTCATTTCAGGGGTGAATTCAGGTCAGATTCTCCAGACTGAAGAAGACTTTAAACAGTGTTTTTAACCTCTTTTCAAATTAGTGTGTCATAACCTATATTATCGTTCTGTTGACGAAACGTTAGAGATCACTACATCTTCAGTTTGAAAAGCAGGAAAAAATTAAGTCTTCAAAATACTGAAACAATCATATCTAATATAAATTATGTTTATGTAAAGGTTTTAAAGCTATTTTTCTAATGTTTTTCTACAGTTCATAGAAATAATGTTCATTACTTGTACTATTGTTTATCATTTGTGGTGATAATCTCTTTTCCTCCAGATGCTCTAAACTCAGCAGACCACCAGATTCCCCCCAATGTAAGGATTGTTTTTTAATCTAAAGACTATCTCTTCAATATTTTCTAATGCAATTGATGAAACATTAAGCTCCCCTCCAAATACATCATTTTTTTTGTTATTTGTGTGTAAATGCAGGAAATCGTGTGGATTTGATGTCTTTTTTATACACAAAGAGCAGTTGAACTAGAAAACTACAAAACTAAAACTAGGGACCCTAAATGTTGCATCTGATTAATGACTGACTCCAGCTGTGAGACAGATGTGCACACGAGCCAATAAACCCCAAACAATGACACAATGAAAATTAATCGTCCTACAATACCAAAACTGAACAGCGGACAAAAAATGCAGAAACCAAACACAAGCTGAGCCGTTAAACTTTCTTTATTCTCCTTTAAGAAAAGGGAAAAAAATATATTTACATGCATAACTACATGCAAACACCCTCTTAGGGAAACAACAGATTTCCC